GGCGCAATATGGTTCATGGGGTCACGAAGAGTCGGACACGACTTAACAACTAAACAACAACTAACAGCTCCTCTTTCTACAGAATAATCCCAGTTGCATCAGTCATATGCAGTGCAAACAGCAAACACAAAATAGCAGCGCAAGTGCCCGATGTCAGATGTGGCCCATTCATGTGGCCTCTGTCCTAGCTTGTCAGTATTAACCAAGCCAGATCCCTCTTCCGTCTCGGCCATGACGACGGTGCCCACTGCCTCACTTGTAGACGGCCCAACCGCAAAGTTCACCTTAGAAACTGCCCAACTCTCGCCATCAGGGCTCCAGCGCCAGGTTGAAGTACGTTCCCTAAGTGCAAAGAGATGAATCAGCTTCGGTTATCAGCGGTTCAGCGGCCCTTCAAGGGAGAAAGGGGGGACCGCAGCCCACTCCCCGGCCAGGTGGAGCCACAAACCATCCGCAGCCCGGGAGGAGGGGAAAGGAGCAGAGCCCGGGGGCTCCGAACGCAAAGGCTCACCCACGCAGATATCGCCCAGCCTCTCGGGGCTTAGCTTTAAGTCGCTCAGGACAGCAGTCATGACCGCAGCCAGAAGCTCGTCAGGTGTAGTTTCCTGGAGAGGAAAGAAAGAAGAGCCTGCTGGGCAGCTCAGCACCCTCGCCCTGTCTGTAGAGGCGCCAGCCTGGAGATGGTGGGAACTGCGGTCCAGCTGCATCCACGGGGCCCTTGACGTGGGGCCCTCCTCTTCACCCCCCCATAAAATCTAGGACCCTTCTAGGGAGGTCAGACCATGATCCCCAGCCAAAGGGGCTGGACTACAACTCCCATACGAAGAGAACGGCCGGGCTAAACGGACTAACACCTCCCCTCCCGCCCGTAATAGATCCGCGCCCCTCCGGAGGGGCTCGGCGACCGCTCGCAATGACGGCCGCGAGGGCTGGGGGTGATGGGAGTTGTAGTCCGACGCCTCTAAAGGAGAGCCCTGCTTTGGGGTTTCATTGGGGAGGGGTGTTGGAAGGAAACAGACTTCGCAAGAGCAGCTCGGGAGGCGCTTCGGCCCGTCGCCTCCGCCTTAGAAGGCGCCCCGCGGTTACCTTGAAGCCGCCCCGGTTGCTCCTGGCAATGGGGGTCCGCCGCCCGTGCACCACCACCACGTCGTCCGGGCCGGACAGCCAGCTCCGGAAAGGAGAAGGCGCCAAGGCCCGCCGCTGTCCGGAGCCGGCCACATGCCCGAGGACCACCCGCATCCGCTCCATTTTTGTCGCCTCAGCAACCTCGGCGACGAAGAGCGAGGCGCGCAGGGCATGCCGGGAAAACCCTACGCGCGGGCCCCCCCCCGCCCCCTTGCCATAGCGCAGAGAGGCTGCCCGTAGAGACTTTGAAAAAGGAAGAGTCGCCCCTGCGTCCCGATCCCTCCCATTCTAAAGGCCGGGTTGTTCGATAAAGCAGTCGACGGCTCTCCCCGTTCGCATCATTCCCGCGACCCTAACCCTAACCGCGAACAGCCCTCTGTAAGCCTTACTTCGAAGGCCCAAGGGAAACCGAGTTCCGCTTCCAACCCTCAGGAAAGGCAAGCTAGAGGGGGCCCCTCTTCACTTTCCTATCTCTACGCACCGGCTGCCGCCTGCGGGAAGTCCCCGCCCCCAACGGAAGAAGGCAGGCCCCGCTAGGCATCTTGGGACGTGTAGTTCTCGATAGCCGCCGTCCCTCCCAGGCAGGCCCGGGACGCGTTATTCCAAGAGGGACTCCGCTGCGGCGGTGCGCGTGTTCGTTTGAACGCGCCCGGCGAGAATTCCGGGCTGAGCTTCCGCCAGCCTCGGAACTGCTGGCTACGGGGGCCGAGGAGCCAGCCCTGCCTCGCGAGGCTGCTGTAGCAAACACATTCCTGCCTCTCCTGCTGGGAGTTTTCGACCGTCTTCCTCCCGGGCTTAGCAAGTGCAGCCTCGGGGCAGGGAGAAGATCTGGAAGGGGGGAAACCGAACAAAAGCCCGCCCGCCCGCCGTTTCCAGGACCCCGCATTTACCCCTTTTGCATTCAGCCAGCAGCTGGCAAATATTGGCACATCGCGCCAGTCCAGTTTACATATAACATCAACATATATATATATATATAACTTTATATATGAACCAAGCCACGGTCAGAATAAAGCTTGGATCAACCTGCAGCCAGAATGCCTCCTATTCTCTCTCTACGCCCCCCCTTAAAAATAAACATTTTGGTCCCGGAATAACACAAAATTTAAAAACGTTTTATTTCATGCACCTGGGAGGAGGGAAGAGGACGAAGCATTTACAGCAAATAAAATACATTCAGCGAGGTCTCCCACAGGCCGAAACAGCGGCATCGCTTTCCTTT